ACTCATGAAATAAGCAGAGAGAATGATGTCAATTGATTACAAAGCACACTGAAATCATAAAGATGAGTAACGAAGTCCCTTTCTTCTACTCGTACTGATAACGTTTACAAATCTTTTTCACGGACGATATGAAGTTTGATTGCGTAAACCAAGTTTTTCTTGCGCAAGAGTTCACACAAAATGCGATCTTTTTTCTTCAACTTGTTCCTCTCGCATATGCACATCCACTTTTTGATACACACACGTTGATCCTTCCATTTTGCTGTTTTCGCTTTGAATTCCCCAATTGGATCGATGTAGCAAACGTAATCTTGAAACTTCAAGCAGTAGTCTTTAACTAGTTGTGCATGAACCAACTGCATTAAAGGTACACAAAGCAAACAAAAATGTCAGCTAAAAAATGTTAAGTTACAAGCAATATGTTAAGAAAATCTATTGCAATTCTTACCAGCTCGTAGATCCTATTCTTTACGCCTGTCTCAAAATATACATTTGCTGGATTATCCAGATATGCCTCTGGATTCTTGATCTTGGCCTTTACTGTAAAAATCCCAAAGGAAACAACATTTCTATATAAGCATCACAAAAATGAATCACTTAGTTAAGTAATGAAACGAAGCCAACATTTCCTTTACCTTTCTTACACTTTTTCCCAGGTTCCACAGAACAAGAGCTATCACTATTAGCATCCACATCTTCTTTTACTTTGGACTTTCCTGAAAAACCTCAAGAGACAAAGCAATTTTTACATAAACATAAGCATTACACAAATGATCAAAGTAGTGAAAGATAATGTATTTTTTACCTTTCTTCTTTGGTTTGACATTAGCAGTTGTGTCTTCGCTATCTGGAAGATAAGAACTGTCACTGTTGGAGTTGTCTTCAACATCCATGTTACTAAACGCTTCGATATAATCACTGTCACTGTCTTCTTCATCAGAAGTCTCCACTTTCTTCTTTCCTGAAAAAAACTCAACAAATAAAACAGTTTTGTATATGTAAAACAATCACATGAAACAACTCTCAAGTGATGAAACAATAATGTCAAAACCTTTCTTCTTGGTTCTCGACATTGCATTGGCCATCTTGAATTCAGAACAAACACTGTCCTCTTCGTCATCAGAATCCTCCGCAACTTCCACTTTCAACTTTCCTGGTCAAGAGACAAAAACATCTTGTCTAAATTAAGCAAATACATCAAAACATCTCAAGTGATGAAAATAACCAACAATGTGTTTAAACCTTTCTTCGTGCTTTTTGGGTTTGTATTGACCATAAATTCAGAATCAGTGTCTGTGCCTTCTTCACTGTCTAGAGAATGAACACTGTCCTCATTGTCATCAGAATCCTCAACATTTTCCTCTTTCGACTTTCCTGTTCAAGAGACAAAACAACTTGTCAATACAAAGCAATCACACAAAACTTCCAAATGGATGAAGAAACAAAATGTGTTAAACCTTTGTTCTTGCTTCTTGGAATCGCATTGGCCATATCAGATTCAGAATCTGTGTCTTTGCTGCTTAGAGACCAAATAGTATCTTCTTCTTCGCCATCCTCCACTTCAGTGACTGCTCTAATCTCCTTACATCCATCGCAGGCATAGATACTGACCTCATAAACATTGTGTCCATTGTACACGAATGTTAGAAAGTCTCCATCTTTGAGAGAGTTATCCTGAACGAATTTAGCCCATCCTCGTCCAAAATACACCTCTTCTGGCTTCTCCTTTATCTCTATAGCTACGTTCCAAATGCATCCACCAGAGCCACGGAGGATTGCGGTTTTGGGCAAAAGACATGGAAACTCATTGTAGTAGGAAATGGGAATCAGCTGCTCAATACAACAAGTTCAACACAAACTGTTAATTAACTTG